ATATATAACAAATATTAACCACACTGTACGTCTCTCTGATATATAACACATATTAACCACACTGTATGTCTCTCTGATATATAACAAATATCAACCACACTGTACGTCTCTCCGATATATATCAAATATGAACCACACTGTACGTCTCTCTGATATATAACAAATATCAACCACACTGTACGTCTCTCTGATATATAACACATATTGACCACACAGTATGTCTCTCTGATATATAACAAATATCAACCACACTGTACGTCTCTCCGACAAATAACAAATATTAACCACACTGTACGTCTCTCTGATATATAACAAATATTAACAACACTGTACGTCTCTCTGATATATAACAAATATTAACCACACTGTACGTCTCTCTGATATATAACAAATATTAACCACACTGTACGTCTCTCCGATCAATAACAAATATTAACCACACTGTACGTCTCTTTGATATATAACAAATATTAACAACACTGTACGTCTCTCTGATATATAACAAATATTAACCACACTGTACGTCTCTCTGATATATAACAAATATTAACAACACTGTACGTCTCTCCGATATATAACAAATAAAAACAACACTGTACGTCTCTCCGATATATAAGAAATATAAAGAACACTGTACGTCTCTCTGATAATTGACAAATATTAACAACACTGTATGTCTCTCCGATATATAACAAATATAAACAACACTGTACGTCTCTCTGATAATTAACAAATATTAACAACACTGTACGTCTCTTTGATATATAACAAATATTAACCACACTGTACGTCTCTCTGATATGTAACAAATATTAACCACACTGTACGTCTCTCCGATATATAATAAATATAAACAACACTGTATGTCTCTCCGATAAATAACAAATATAAACCACACTGTACGTCTCTCCGATAAATAACACATATTAACCACACTGTACGTCTCTCTGATAAATAACAAATATTAACAACACTGTATGTCTCTCTGATATATAACAAATATCAACCACACTGTACGTCTCTCCGATATATAACAAATATTAACAACACTGTACGTCTCTCTGATAATTAACAAATATTAACAACACTGTATGTCTCTCCGATAAATAACAAATATAAACCACACTGTACGTCTCTCCGATAAATAACACATATTAACCACACTGTACGTCTCTCTGATAAATAACAAATATTAACAACACTGTATGTCTCTCTGATATATAACAAATATCAACCACACTGTACGTCTCTCCGATATATAACAAATATTAACAACACTGTACGTCTCTCTGATAATTAACAAATATTAACCACACTGTACGTCTCTCCGATAAATAACACATATTAACTACACTGTACGTCTCTCTGATATATAACAAATATCATTCACACTGTACGTCTCTCCGATATATAACAAAAATTAACCACACTGTACGTCTCTCCGATAAATAACAAATATTAACCACGCTGCACGTACCTCCGATAATTAACAAATATTAACCACACTGTACGTCTCTCTGATATATAACAAATATCAACCACACTGTACGTCTCTCCGATAAATAACAAATATTAACAACACTGTACGTCTCTCCGATAAATAACAAATATTAACAACACTGTACGTCTCTCCGATAATTAACAAATATCATCCAACTGTACGTCTCTCCGATAAATA